TTTGTTCTTTCGCTTTATAAGTGCGATACCACCCGGATGGTTGGGTTGTTTCTTACATGTACCTTTAGGTTGTGCATATTTTTTTCGGTGGGCAATAGCTTGTGCAATAATCTTTTAACATCATCAGACAGGACCTGGAAAGTGGAAAGCTCTTGCTTGATTTTCAGCAGTTTTTGCCGGGCAGGAATTTTGTTTTGGTTATTGCTTAAGCCCCTCCTCAAAAATAGTAATGGTCCATCCCTAACAGCTAACATAAAAGAACACTGTTCGCTTTAAATGGCTGTAATGGAGATTTTTTTGATGGCTTGGAATTTCCACTGGGTCTTTGTTAGGTTAGTTTCATAATGAGGGTTAAAATACAACTCAAAACCACGCGCTTCATTGTGACTATTTAATTATAAACCATATTTACATTTTCAACAACACGTGCAATTAATTTTATTGTCTCTAAATTTAATAGCCTGTGTTCATAACAACTGCAAATAAAACATCAAATAACTGTGCAAAATCCTTCAAGTGGCATTTTGACATATTGCTATCATACAATGAACACTTTGAAATTCAACTTGTGACAAAAATATCACCTGACAACAAGTAAAGATCCCTTCATCTGAGATCATACAAATGTATTTGCATATCCTCAAGGATATAAAGTTCTGTATTACATTTTCAATTAAGCCTTATCTTTGACTTCCTGCATCTTAAATTTGAATTATTTTAAAAGCCCTGATTTTTGCTGATATACATTAATTTTTACATGTATATGGAAGCTTGATATCAAGTCATATTTGAGGGACCTTGGCTGGAACACAATGCTGAAAATTCCAAAAGCTCTCCCCCTTACTATTGTTTCAACTCAAGCAAAACAGTCACCCTAGTTTTGGCAGTGGCTTAATACAAAATTGCTAAATATATCACTATTATTATGCTAGGCTTTTACTAATTTACGGAAATAGAAAAGATTGTCTCCGCTCTGCAATTTTCTCATTGCTATTCAAAAGCAATCTGAAAATGACTGTTTACTGACTGCATTCACAAATGGAAGCCTGACTTTTTGCCAGGAGATATTATTAATAAATTTGCATCACGTTACAGGTCCTGTAAGAGGTTATCATCCTGACGCTGAAAATCTGAGGCATCCATAATTTATTATTGATTTACTTAATAGAAAATCACACTTTGCACACGTAACTAACTAATGTAAGCAAAATATTATCATGTTCTTTAATTTACTGTTCAAACTACTTC